GGTTAACATAGTAGAAAAGAAAATTATATTTCAGACCTTTGAGTAAACTTCATGAAAAAACAACAAACACATTTTGAGGTATTTTCCACACTGTCAACAAACACATTTTCGAAAATCATAAGCTTGTCTACAATTGATAAGAATGGGACACTTATCTATAAGAAACTACACATAGACACAAATTTTTGGATATCATAGATACAAATTTTTTGTTCAATCCATAAAGAATCTACATTCATTTTAGGTCATCCACTATGTAATCAGTTTTAACAATTACAAAATATAAACAGAGGACCAGCAAACTTTATTTTTGGAATCAACACACTTTCATAGCCTTTATGTAGTGCCAGAGAGCTAACAATCACAATACGCACCTAAGATCTTTTTCTTCCCTTCAAATCACTCACACAAAACCCTTCTTTCACAAAAACAAAGACGCAAAAAGACAATATCAAACGGTTTTTGAAATTCTCAAAATACTAAAGACTTTACCCAAATAAAACTGATCTAAACCTTAATTGACTATCTTTGCTGCAGGATAGCCAGAAAATTATCCAACTAGACTTTCAACTATATGCATGACACAAATAAAAACAATAAGTCTTAATTGGCTATCTTTGCTGTAGGATAGCCACACAATTATTCAACTAAACTTTAAACCACACAATTATCCAACGAGACATTATACTATATGCATGACACATATAATCACTAAGTCTTAATTGGCTACTTGCACAATCTTACATAAGCAAGTCAAGCCTAAAATCAAGGCACAATATTCACAAAAGAGACCACAGAAGCAGCCAGAACGGGAGAGAACGACAACCAGAAACAAGATATGAACACACAAATCTAAACAACATAGCTTTAACAAACACAAACGGAAACGAAAATTGGCTATCTTTGCTGTAGGATAGCCAACAAATTATCCAACTAGACTTTATACTATATGTACGACACATATAAAAACTAAGTCTTAATTGGCTATCTTTGCTGCAGGATAGCCACACAATTATCCAACTAGATTTTAAATTATATGCATGACACAAATATAAACATTAAGTCTTAATTGGCTATCTTTGCTGTAGGATAGCCACACAATTATTCAACTAAACTTTAAACCATACAATTATCCAACTAGACTTTATACTATATGCATGACAAATAAAAATGTTAAGACTTGAGAATTCATACTTCAACAATTTGTAAGCAAATCAAAATTTTCACCAACCTAGCAACGAAGTTAATTGATTTTAATATAGTTGGAAGACTAATTCCATAAAACTTCGAGGTGAGGTGGCTATCTCATTTTACCTCAGGGGCTAGTGCGACTTGTTTATATTCTTCACCTTTGTAGTTCTATTCACCTACATAAAAGTATTCGAGAGTAAGTCTACGCATTATTTGAGTATGAAATTAACATATTTCATCTAAAAGGGAGCATAATTCCTACATTTGATAAATATAAAGATGAGGATATGGGTAAATAGGCCATGTTACTGGGTAGTTGACATGTAAAACTACAAAGGAGGCGTTGTTGGTACAAAAAAGTATGCCCTTCTTAGGTGTCTATTATTTGTGATGGGTACACCATGCATGTTCAATAAGCACAAAAACTAGATCTATATCTAGCCTTAGCCAAGTGGCAAGTCCTCGTCATTGATACAAAATTAATTCATTTTTTTTACTATTCACAACTGTCATGAAAGGCCATTTTTCTACTAGAATTTCTTCTTTAAAAGGAAATATATCCACAAAGAATTCAGCTTCAATAGATTCCATAATAGTATTATCATTAATATCATATATTTCTGATTTAACTTCTAGGAATCTATAAGCAGCATTATTCATTGCATAACCTATAAGGACACAATCAATTGTCTTAGGTCTAAGTTTTGTCCTTTTTGGTAAAGGAACTTGTACCTTTGTCAAACATCCCACACTTTTAGTAGTTTAGATGAGAGAAACTTCCTTTTCCACACTTCATAAGGCGACTTATTAGTCTTCTTATGTGGAATTGTATTTAAGATAAAGTTTGTTGTAAGAAAAGCTTGCCCCCGCAAATTATGGGGTAAACATGTACATTTAACATTCAATTTACCGTGTCCTTCAAAAGTTTGGTTCTTTCTTTCAGCTACATCATTTTGTTGTGGTGTATAAGGTGTTGTAGTTTGATGAATTATACCATTAACTTCACAAAATTCAAAAAGTGATAAATTGTACATAGGTAATATTGATTAAGAGTATTCTGCGTTTTAATGTGCAAAAGAAAGTGAATTTTGAATGAATTGAGAAATTTAATTACATGACAATTTCTTTTTTACTCCATTTATCTTTTTTGTTTCTTTTTGTGTTAAAGTTACAAAGTTACACATTTGTAACTTTGTATGTGTTAAAGTTACGTTATGTTACATATGTGTTAAAGTTACTAGTGAGAGGTAATATATTTGGATAACTATCACTACAAGAATTAAATGCTTTGCCGACTTTTTTCTCTCCGACGTATAAATAGTCGTCGGGCAAAGACCTCTTACCCGACGAAAGGTAAAATAGTCGGTAGTATTACCGACGATTTGTAAAAATAGTTGGGAAAGATCTAATTTTCCCCACGGTATATATAAATCGTCTGGAGATGTAGATCTTATCCCGACTATTTTAAGAAAATGTCGGGAGATATTGTTTTTTTATTTCTTTAGATAATATAACACCAGACTATTTTAAAATATGGTCGAGAAAGATTGTTATTCCCGACGGTTTTAAATTATAGTCGGGGTAAGTTGAATTATTTTGGTAAAGCACCGTGTATATTGTTTTTCAATTGTTTTACATGTCCAGACTATTCTAAAAATAGTCGGCAATTATTAATATGTTCGACGGTTTTTAATAATGGTCTGTAGAAGTTTACTTTATGCAACTATTTCAAT